TTTTTTGCATTGATTTTTGGTCTTGTTTTTCCTGGTTTCTACTTTATTGATTTCAGCCCTCAATTTGTTTATTTTCTGGCATCTACTCCTCCCGGGTGAGTTTGCTTCTTTTTGTTGTAAGGATTTCAGTTGTGCTGTTAATTCTCTTATGTGACTATCCTTTGTTTTTGTTTTTGTTTTTTTCATATGGGCACTTAATGCAATGAGCTTTCCTTGTAACACTGCTTTCAAGGTGTCCCATAAGTTCGGCTGTGTTGTGTCTTCTTTCTCATTGAATTCTAGGAAGTCTTTAATTTCTTCCTTGATTTCTTCTTTGACCCAGGTGGGGTGGAATTACACATTGTTCAGTTTCCATGAGTTTGTAGTGTTTCTGTGATTTGTGGTTTTATTTTAATTCCAAATTTAAAGCATGGTGGTATGATAAGATACAAGGGACCATTCCAATTTTCTTTGTATCTGTGGAGGTTTGTAATGTTGCCTAGTATTGGTCAATTTTAGAGAAGGTTCCATGTGGAGCTGAGGAAAAGGTATATTCTTTTGTTTTTGTATGGAATGTTTTATAGATATCTGTTAGTCCAACTGGAACATGTCTTCTGTTGTTGCTTTTGTTTCTTTGTTAAGTTTCTGTCTGGTTGTCCTGTCTAGCAGTGAGAGTGGGGTTTTGAAGTCTCCCACTATGAATGTGTGAGGTTTTTTTGTGAGCTTTGAGTTTTAGTAGTGTTTCTTTTAAAAATGTTGGTACCTTTGTATTTGGGGCATAGATGTTCAGAATTGAGACTTTGTGCTGATGAATTTCTCCTGTAATGAATTCTAAATGACATTCTTCATATTTTTTCATTGATTTTGGTTTGAAGTCTAACATTTTAGATATTATGATAGGCACACCTGTTTACTTCATGGCTCTATTTGATTGGAAGATCATTTCCCATCCCTCTACCCTGAGGTAATTTCTGTCTTTGAAGCTGAGATGTGTTTCTTTTATTCAGCAGAAGGATGGATTCTGTCTTCATATCCATTCTTTTAGCCTGTGTCTTTTTATATGCTAGTTAAGACCATTAATGTTGAGGAAAAGTAAGGATATTGATTGTTAATTCTTGTTTGTTTTAGATTTGTTGTTGGTGGTGGTATTGTGAATATATTTGCCCTGCTTTATCCTTCTGGTTCTGGTGAAGTGGGATTATCTATTCCCTATGTCTTTGTGACCATAGTTAACTTCCTTCGGTTGGAGTTTTCCTTTGAGAGCTTTCTGTAGGGCTGGATTTGTTGATACATATTGTGAAAAAAATCTTACTTTGTCATTGAATATCTTGTTTTCTTAGTCTGTAATGAATGAGAGTTTCGCTGGTTATAGTAGTCTGGGCTGGAATCTGTGGACTCTGTACCTTCTGGCCTTGAGAATTTCCATGGAGAAGTCAGGTGTAATTTTGATAGGTCTGCTTTTATATGTTACCTGGCCTTTTTCCTTTGCTGCTCTCAATATTCTTTCTTTATTCTGTATGTTAGGTGTTTTGATTATTATATGTCAAGGAGTCTTTTTTCTTTGTTCCCGTCTGTTTGGTGTTCGTTATGCTTCTTCTACTTTTCATGAGCATGTCCTTCTTCAGATTGGGAATGTTTTCTTCAATGATTTTGTTGAATATGTTTTCTGCACCTTTGATCTGGGCTTCTTCACCTTCCTCTATGCCTATTATTCTTAGGTTTTCCCATTTCATTGTGTCCCTGGGTGTTCCTGGATGTTTTGTGTTAAGGTTTTGTTGGATCTAAGATTTTCTTTAGTCAATGAATCTATTTTCTCTAATTTATCTTCAGTGCCTGAGATTTTCTATTTCATCTCTTGTATTCTTTGGTTATTTTTGGATCTGTAGTTCCTGATTGTTTGCCCAGTTTTCTATTTCCAGCATTCCCTCATTTTTTGTTTTCATTATTTTCTCTATTTCAGTTTTCAAGTCTTGAACTGTTTCCTTTACCTGTTTTTCTTGTCTTTCCTTACTTTCTTTAAGAGACTTGTTCATTTCTTTCTATTTTTTGCTTGTTTTTTCTTCCATTTCTTTAAGGGATTTTCTCCTATCTTCTTTGAGGGTCTCTATCATTTTTATGAAGTTATTTTTTATGTTATTCTCTTCTGCTTTATCTGCTTTAGGGATAGTTGATAGCCTGGTCTAGTGTTCTCAGAGCAGATCCAGGAAGTTCCCTGGAGGTGGTAGGATTGTTGAACCCACCTTCTGGCCCAAAAATGGGAGTCCAGGAATGGAACTCTTAACACCAACTTCTATACTCTAATCCCAAGGCGAATTAGCAGATGCTAGGACAGAGCAGGCAGGCACGGAGGCTAAGGCAAGACTCCAAATCCAGTCCACGTTTTTGAGGATAGAGGGTCCTTGGGCAAAACAGGAACAGCAGCATCCTCTGCCTCAAGTACTGGCAGAAAGAAGACTGGAATACTGAGGGTCTGTTGTCAGCATGGCAAACTGCATGTACCCAATAAACAGGAGTTACAGTGAAGATGCAGTGAACTGAAGCCAATTTGATTTCATCATCTACATACCAGGAAAACCTTTCTCCATGAGAACGAGACAGATGGTACCAGGAGGAACATTGTAGTCCTGTCACTGGATACTACATTTCACACAATTTGACTGCACCAAACATGACATTTATCCCCAGACTCAGACTCTTTTATATTTTAACATGGTTTTCTGAACCTATAATGTAATTACATGATTTCTCTCCTTCCCTTTCTTACCTCCATCTCCTCCCACATAACTCCTATGCCCTGACAAAATTGTGGCCTCCTTTTCTTTAGTGTTTGTGTATGTGTGTGTGTGTGTGTGTGCGCGCGCACGTGTGTGCGCACACACACTCTTCAAGATATCTGCTCAGTCTTTATATTAATTTTACATATATGATTTCATAGCTGATCTTTGTGTATTTTATAACCAATTGAGGGGTCTTTTCTTGTTATCAGATAATTCAAAGTCCACATTTGCGTTTCTCCCTCCCTCTCTCTCTCCCCTTTGCCCCCCTTTTCAGTGTGTGTGTCTTTTTGTTTGCAGAAACACCCAAGAATGTGAAAGCTGAAAGCTACCTCTTCTGGGTCTCATTCTGATTTAGGGTGAACTTCTTGTCCAGCTTCTCACAGATTAAACACTAATCATGTTTGGTGACTTCCAGGGCTCTTGCTTATTAACTGGCACAGTTCTTTTGGGAGCTTCACACATGACACATGTTCTGAATTGATCTGGTGCTTCTAGCACAAGCTTTTGCTGCACAGGTCATTGACATAATTTCCTTTTTTAATGTTAAAAACAAACAAAAAATCCATTCCTAGATTTCATTTATTCACTTGTAGTGCTAGAAGTGCACCATAGAGCTTTGTGCGTGACAGGCACTTTCCCTACCATTAACCTGAAGTCCTACAGCTGAGAATGCAGCTGTGTTTTCAGATATTCATAATTAGAAGGGAAATTACAAAACAGAAAATGGGTAGGCAACTTTTCAGGCTCTTATCTAACATGTCCTTGACACATAAAGTTTTAGCACCAAAGAGGCCTGCTGATAAAGAGGACCTTGCTAGGTAGTAATACTGGGTTATCAAGGGTGGAATTCATGCTGAGAGTAAGACAAGGATGTGTTCTAACAGCTCTAGTCTCTCAGAGAGACTTAATTGTTATCAAAATTTAGTAGTTGAGGTAATAGTGACTTCACACTAGAGTATGGAGTCTTCCCTTCCAAGTCCACCTCAACTGGACTTGGAGATACATCCAGTAGTGTTAACACCTTGAAGGTTGAAGTAGAGGCTGGTTTGAAGATAGTGTATGCTAAACATCAAAGTTAAGTTTTACACAACAGAAAGCAAGCTACATCTTCATTGTACTCTTCTGAACTTAGGCACACTGTCAGCTTTTTAATGCCTTTATTGGTTTTTCGCGTGTCTTATGCAATTCTTTCATTAAAGTTATTACTGATTTTTTTCCATTTCTCTAATGTCTCTCTGTGAAGGCCTGGCAAGATGAAACTCAAAATACAGACTTGGTTGGCCTGAAAGTTCCAGTTGTCCTCTTACCTGTGCTTCCTAGTTGCTAGGACATAGGCCAGCTCTACCATGTCCCACTTCCCTGTATTTACTGAAGGACTTTTACTGAAGTAGAAACACTGAGACACTGCCATTCAAATTTTGAGTCACATGACCTGGCCCATTATAGACTACAGATGAACAGTTAATCCCTTAGTGCTAAAATAGTGCAGATGTTGTTTATGATTTAGCTCACATTTCCTAATCTGGTTATCCTCTTAAAAGACAGCTACTTATAATATTCCAGAAGACAGAAGAACAACTTGGGCAGCAGAGGCCAGGTGAGGTGCACATTGCTCGTCTCTAAATTTTCAAGAGCAGAGGCTCTGGGGACTTGAGAGGATAAGAAATTTTCAAGTAAATAAATGTAACTAGAAAATAATCAGTATGAGGTAACTCAGATACAGACAGACAAACATTGTCTTATTTACTTGTGTGGATATTAGCTGTTAGGTTTTCATTATGAAGGTTATAATCCACAGAAGCAAAGAGATTAGCTAGAACAGTGGATCATGCATGAGGGGTAAATTTCCCTAGGAAAGGAAATTGGAGTGGTTAGACACAGATGAATGAGAGGGCAAGGAGAAATAGTTCAGATTCTGTTTTTAGCTTTGGATTCAAGGTTAGGTACTTTGACACTCATATCAATATGCATTAACTTTATTATTTACATTTGTTGACAGGAAATAAAACACAGATTTTATGACAATTAAATAAGAGTTTATTTAATGAAAGTCCATACCCCAAATAATGAATTAAGGAAACAATAAAATGACAAAAAAAGAAAAGCAAAGGCCAACTTGAGCATTTTTTGTTACTGGCCACCTTTGGCATCATTTTGAGTTCTTTAAAAATTTATGTAGACACAATGACAAATGCTTGCTATCTTTGCTTGATTTTCAAGATGGCATAAGGTAATAATTTACTTTTAAATTTTGGAATGGGGTGTCTTGCCTATGGCTAAATTTGAAGAAAGACAAATTATACCACTTATTAGAAAGAAAACTGCAGCAATAATTGCCAGAGCCATGGCACTACCAATCTTCTGAGTGTCTGGGTGAGAAGGCATGTGGAAATATGGTGGAAAGGCAATCCCCCATTTGCGTATTATGGATATGTAATTGAAAAGAACAGCAAGATAAAGAAAGCTGCTAGCAATGATGTTCAAAATCCCCGAAAGGCTGAATGGATTGCAGGTGGCATTCCTCCATTCTCTTCCAATACACACTTTCCAAAGAGCAATAATGATGGTGATTTTCCCAAAGAGGCCCAGAAAGCTGGACACCAGCAGCAGGTGCTGGTTTATTCGAATATACAAAGGCAGGAAGGAGTCATGGTAGTTGTATCGGTGACATATTCTGATGTCCCTGGTGTTGTTGCCATTGTAGAAAACACAGGATCTCCATATGCCCACAAAAGCCACTGTAGGCTTGAAAATCACTGGATCTTCATAGTACCACACTCGCCACTGAGGAAGCCCCATGGAGATGCAGCAAAGTAGCCAGGCCACTGTGGTTAAAACAAAACCTCCCATTTGGTGATGGTAGTTTTTTGTCAACATGATGTGACAGTGAACTGCAAAGATATACAGCAGAATATGAAGATGGTTACTCTAGACAAGCACAATATACTGGGTTTATAGTACTAGGAGAATGGTGTTATGTTTGAGAGAGTGGGGATCGGCCTGGAGATCTGCTGACTTGGATGTGGTGTGAGAAAAGGCTGAGAAGGCTCCAGTTGTAAAATATTTATATAGGTAGATAACTCATACACACTCTATAATGTGTAATTCTACATTTTCCATGGACTTCTGGAAATCCTGCTGCCTTTCCCTCCCAAGGGCTACTTAGAGGCATGAGACCCTGCATCTCATCAGTATAATGGTATTTTCAAGGACCACCCATGGTAAGCTAATGTGAGAAGTTTGTCCTACTGATATGTCAAATGTTGCCTGATCATTCATTCATTTAGATTAGCTTAAATCTTTGCCTGTTAAGAATATCACAGTATGAACGAGCATGATATATGAGACTTTGTGTTCACACATTGTGTTACTATTTCTTTTGAGTAAATAAGGCATTCAATTTGAAGGAGACAGTGTCAAATGCATAGAGTTTGCATTGTGGAATTTACAGAACTATTTCATACAGATTGCATGACTTTTACATACCCAGCAGCAAACCTGGAAGTTTTCAGCTGCTTTATAACTTCCTTCTCATTGGGTATGTGCAGTACACCAACACATCTATACTGAAAAACAGCAAATGAGTGAAAACTCATGAAGTAATATAAAATTCACTTGCTTTGGTGTATACAGTATAATTGATATTATACATTATCTTAAAGTAATCTATTATACTATAATACTTGCAAGTTGTAAATCTTAAGAAAAATTGTGAACATGGATCATGCTCACGTTTCAGGAATTGTGTAACACAAAGAAACTATAAATACATTCATAGTATTATGGTTAGTTTTGATTGTCTACTTGAAACAATGTAAGAATGATCAGAGAGGGGAGACTCAGTGAGGAATCATCTAGATTAGGTTGGTCTGTAGGCCTGTCTGTGATGGATTATGTTGATAATATTACGTGAAGTAGGAAGTCCTAACCAGTGTGGGTAGCACCAGTCTCCAGGAATGGGATTAGGAGCTGCATGTGATTGTAGAAATGCATCTGAATGCCAAAAGGAATGCATTAATTCATTGCTAGCTCTTCTGGACTGTGGCTGTCATGTGGCTAGCTGCTTCAGGTTCTTGCCACCTTGACTTCTCCAGATTGATGGACCTGGAAATGTGAGCCAAATAAACCCTTTCTATGGTAAGTTGCTAGTTTTTGTTTTTGTTTTTCCAGTATTTCATGTCATAAACACAAAGGAAAATTAAGATACACAGCTAAGTTTTATCTGTTCATTCATGTCTGTATTTACTCATTCTACCTTTAAATATGTGGAGTAGATATTGAAAATGATAAATTTAAGTCCTTGAAATCACATTGTTCTATGTTGGTTTTAAGCTAGAAATCTGTCATTGTTTCTGTCATTGAGCTTTTTGTTTGTTTGCTTTGTGTTTTTTGTTTGTTTGTTTGTTTATATTGGCCAGAGTTTTACATGTAAGCCAAAATTTTCTCCAAATTGATATGTAGTCCACATTGGTTTCAGACATGAAACAATTCTTCCTCAGAGTCCCAGACCTGAGGTTATTTATATGCATGACCACCATACATAATTTGTGTAAGTTTTATTTATGTTGAAGACACTTGCACTGTGTGTGTGTGTGTGTGTGTGTGAGTGTGTGTGTGTGTGTGTGTGTGTATGTGTGTGTGTGAAAGATCCCCTGGACTATTTCATGTTACTGAGATGTTGTACCATTAATCTATATCCCTATAATAGGAAGAGCTTTCTCGTAGACTGGGTTTTCCGAAACTTTGTACATGTGTTCCTTCATTATGCTTCCAAGAAGGAAATTTAAGAATGCATTTCAAAGTGAGACAAAGAGAAATCATGTCCCTGTAGTCAACACTCTACCAAATCAGGAGGATTTAACAACTAGAAACAAGGATCTAAAGGCATTCCCTCCTTTATTGATAAAGAAGCAGCATCTAGAGGCAACATGGGTGTGGCTTTTAATACTCCTATTTTAGTACCACAGATTGCAATAGTAGCATGATTTCTAGACAATACTTATTAAAGGTGGTCTCTCCTGGAGTCAGTGTGGGTATATATGCAAATAATGTTCTAATTGTGCAAAAGATAAAGAGGTTAAGACCACATGTGGGCAGGAGTTCTTAATGTACATTTCCCCTAACTCAATTAAGTAGAGGACTCAAAGTATTATAATTGAGGAGAGTGGATGTCACCGTGTGCCTGAGAATTGCTCTTAAATCAAGGATCAACTTATCAGTCTAGCTTGGGTGCAGAAAAATGGCCAGTGTAGTTGAAGGTTAATGGAGAGAGTGAGGCTAAAGAAGTCATCCAAACCAAGGTTTGGAAAACATTTGTGGGAGTGTCTATGAGTCTTGCTTAGTAATACTTTGAACAGTGGCATATGGTGAGGGATTGTTGAAATTTGTAGCCAGAATCTCATTATTATAGCCAGAATCCTTTGGCAAAGGACTTTATTCATAATCATCATTCTAGGGTTCCCTGCTCAGAGACTGTTGAGGCCTGGGGACTGTGCACAGGGGAACTCATCCCAACAGACCAGGCCATCCAGAGTCTGCCATCACCCTAGTCCCACCTCCACCCACTGGAAGAGGAGAGCCATCTAAGTATTGGACCTGCTTGCATCCACCAGAAGAGAACCTTGGTCCCATACCCACCAGGGGAGGGAGAGAGCCAACAGGTATGCACTGGAAGAAGAAATGGGTAGAAAGCAATATAAGAAAAAAATCAACAACAGAAAGATCAATATGATACAACCAGAGTCTAGGAACTCCACACCAGCAAGACCTGAACATCCCAACACAGATGAAACAGAAGAGAATGACCCTAAAAAAAAGTTTATGATAGTGATAGATAACCTCAAAGAGGTAAGGAGAAAATTGCTTAAAGAAATGGAAGAAAAAACAAACAAAAATTCAAGAAATGGAATGGAGGAAAAGACAAACCAAAAGTTACAAGAAACAATTCCAACACTCAAGGTTTGAAATCTGAAATAGAGACAATTAAAAAAAGTAACACAGTCTAAGGGAATGCTGGAAATAGAAAAGCTAGATAAATGATCAGGAACTACAGATGTAAGCATGAAACAAAACAGAATACAAGAGAGAAAAGAGAGAAAGAATCTCAGGCATTGAAGATACACTAGGAGAAATAGATTCATTAACCAAAGAAAATCTTAAGTCCAAAAGATTAGAGTGAATGCAGAGCTAGCAACTAGTTAGCTATAGAGGCCAGGCAGTAATGGCACACATCTTTAATGCCAGCACTCAGGAAGCAGAGACAGGCAGATCTCTGTGAGTTCAATGCCACCCTGAGCTATAGGAGATTGATCCATTCTAAAAGAGAAACACCTTTAATCCAAGTATTTTGGAGTCACATTTCTTTTTTCCCAGCACTAAGGAGGTGGAGACAAATAGGGATGTGGCTGGGCAGAGAGAGGAATATAAGGCGGGAGAAGTCAGGAGAGCATTGCATTCATTCTGAAGTTTCCTAGAGACGGATGGCTCATTTGGTCTGAGGATTTATGAAGAAAGGATCTTGCCCACTTTGGTCTGAGGATTTGGTAGAGGTAAAAGGTCTTCCTAGTGAATGGTCCCTTTACTTCTCTGATGTTTCAGCATTTACCCCAGAAAAAATACAAAACACAAAAAACAAGTAGTACACTGGTAGAACCAACTAGCAGCTTTAGTGGACAGAGTCAGACAAGTAAAGGTCAAACTTAAACATTCAAGAATGACTTCTACTAAGCACATAAATTCATTCACATAATATTGGTTTTTGCATTTTGTTGTTTTAATAGTTTGATGTTGTTGAAACACCATAACTTAGATATTCTCTACTTGTTATCATCTTGCTAAGACCACTGTATTTCTAAGGAAAACTAAAGGGGACTATGAACTATTCCATTTATGTCACATTTTCAGATATTTTAAGTAACTTTAACTCTGATTTTCAGGGATAAAAAAGCAGAGTAGTTCTGTGATAGGATTAGGTGTTTGTGGCTACTTACCTTATACTGGGAAGGAATTAAGAACAGAGTAAGGACTTGGGATGAAGGGTAATCCTCAAAGGTATGCCTCTTATACCAGAATGTCCTAAAACCACCAGGGAGAGTTCTAGGATTTAATATATGACACTTTGTTGGGAACAAGTTATAACCCAACTAAAACATGATAAGCAGGAGACTATACTGTTTATAGATTATTCATAGTCACATTCTTGAGAAGGACAGAAATTCCTTCTGTGGCAGCATGGATGAGCCTTGAGAACACTGTGGTAATTAAAATAAGCTAATCATAGTCTGATGTTTTGAATGAGAATGGTCCCCATATCCCCACCCCATATGCTTGCTTGAATGCTTGGTCCCAAGTTAGTGGAACTGTTTGGGGTACATTAGGATGTATGACCTTGTCAGAAAAGTATGCAATTTTTGAAAAAGATATGTTAAAGGAGGTAGGTTTTCAGATTTTTAAAAGTCCATAACAAGCCCAGCCTTCCACACACTCTCCCTCTGCCTGAAATCTGGGAATCAGATGTTAGCTCCAGGTCCATGCCTATCTGCTCCCTGTCGTGATGATCACTGACTAATCATCTAAAACCTTTGTTGATTCTTGTATTGATCATAGTGGCTCTTCACAGCCTTAGAACAGAATATGAAAGAATTCTGTACTTTGTATTAGAAAAGTGGTTGAATGCATTAAGGCAGGCTTAATGAGCCATCCTAGTAGGAACATGGAGGATAGTAATGCTGAGAGGTTTATGGAGTATGTAGGATCCTGTCAAAAGATTTTAGAAGGGATCAAATCGCAGTTGTTCAAATGGATATGCTTCTTGGGAAACATTTTACCAAGAAGGTGGCTTCTTTTTGCCCTTGTCTTTTTGCCAGAGGCTAAATTGA